GGAAAGTGGGATTTGGGGGCTTGGATCGAGTGGGCATGGCGAAATGGCGATGGAGGAATATTTATAATGAATAATGGCCAAAATTGGGAAGGTGGTGGTGAGGGTCACGGGGGAGAAAAAATGGTGACGGGTGGTTGCGGAGGCGGTTAAAGGAATTGGGGAAAAGGGGAGAATGGAAACGGCCGCTGCAGTGTTTCTGTCTGTCGCTCTTTGTTTTTTGTTGTTGTTTCTCTCTCTCGTTTGGATTTTGTGGGTGTGTCCAATTTGGTATTTGGTATTTGGTATTTGGTTTTCGTTTTAGTTCAGGTTGGAGGAAGCAAGGGAAGATTAGATTTGAGAAATGGTCATTTTTGTACCACGAAATTAAATTTGACGACTGAAATTTTTAGAAACAAGTTGTTTTTTTTATCATTTTCATACAAAATGTGGGCTTGAAATTACGTTTTTACCCGTACTTTTATCACTTTCCTTACGGGTCACAAAAATTAATTACGTTTCTTTTTTTAATTTTTGAAACTCTCCTTTCGTTTTGCTTACACACTCCTCTCCATTGCCTTCTTCTTTTCTTACCAGCATTCACACTTGTCCTTTCGGTTGCTTGAACTTTCATCTTGCACGCTCTTGATGTAGGATTCTGTCGAGCTACTGTAGTCGGCCACGTGGCAACAAGGGGCGAGTTGATGATGTGCGACTTTAGGCAAGAGGGGCTTGCAAAATGATCAAAATGATTAATAAAAACGTTGGACAAAGATCCCTTCTCCCCACTTTTTTGTAAAAACGTTGGCAGAAAATCACTTATCCCCACGTTTTATTAAAAACATTGGGAAAAGTAACATTTTCCCCCCGTTTTTGTAAAAACATTGGCAGAAGATCACTTATCCCCACGTTTTTAGTAAAACGTAGGGATAATTGATCTCTTGCCAATGTTTCTACAAAAATGTTGGTATAAGATTACTTTTCCTAACGTTTTTTTGTAAAACGTGAGGATAAGTGATTTTCTGCCAACGTTTTTCCTAAAGGCAATAGGATAATAGTAAAACGTTTTGTCAACGTTTAACAAAAAGACAAAAAGTTTCTCCCAAAGAAAATACCTATCTTTGGCACTTAAGATTAGGTCACATTAATCTCAATAGGATAGAAAGGTTGGTTAAGAACGACCTTCTAAGCGAGTTAGAATACGACTCTTTACAACCATGTGAATCTTGTCTTGAAGGCAAGATGACTAAAGGAGACCTTTTACTATAAAATGTTATAGCGCCAAAGAGCCCTTAGAACTTATACATTCAGACCTTTATGGTCCGATGAATATTAAAGCTCGAATAGGGTATGAATACTTCATCTATTCTATAGATGATTATTCAATGTATGGTTATCTATATCTAATGCAACACAAGTCCAAAGCCCTTGAAAAGTTCAAGGAGTACAAAACCGAAGTTGAAAATCAATTAAGTAAAACCATTAAAACACTTTGATCTGATCGGGGTGGAGAGTATATAGACTTGAGATTCCAGGACTATATGATAGAACATGGAATCACGTTCCAACTCTCAACCCCTGGTACATCTCAACAGAACGATGAGTCAGAAAGGAGAAACAAAACCCTGTTAGACAGGGTTCGATCAATGATGAGCTATGCTCAGTTGCCTAACTCGTTTTGGGGTTACGCAGTGGAGATTGCGGTTTATATTTTGAACGCAGTTCCATCGAATAGTATTTCTGAAACACCCTTTTAACTATGGAAGGGTCGTAAAGCTAGTTTACGGCATTTCCGTATTTGGGGATGTCCGGCACACATGATCGTGACTAACCAAAAGAAATTGGAGCATCGTTCAAAAGTATGTCTATTCATAAGTTACCCTAAACAGACGAGAGGTGGTATCTTCTTTGATCCACAAGAAAACAGAGTGTTTGTATCTACAACCGCCACTTTCTTATAAGAAGACCACGTTCGAATCATAAACCACGAAGGTAGTGATAAACAAGATGTCTGAAGAGACTACAAACACGTCAACAAAAGTTGTTGATCAAGCTGACACATGAACAAGAGTTGTTGATGAAGTCAGCACATCACGTCAGTCACATCTACCTCAAGAATTAAGGGTGCCTCGACGTAGTGGGAGGATTGTGTCACAACCCGAACTCTACGTGGGTTTAACTGAAACCCAGATTGTCATACCCGATGACGATGTCGAGGATCCGTTAACCTATAAATAGGCAATAGAATATGTAGACAAGGACAAATGGGTCAAAGCCATGGACCTGAAAATGGAGTCTATGTACTTCAATTTTGTTTGGGAACTTGTAGACCAACCTGATGGGGTAAGACCCATAGGGTGCAAATGGATCTACAAGAGAAAACGAGACGCCGAAGGGAAGGTACAGACCTATAAGACGAGATTTGTGGCGAAAAGCTACACACAAAGGGAAGGGGTGGACTATGAAGAAACCTTCTCCCATATAGCTATGCTCAAGTCCATAAGAATACTTTTGTCCATTGCCATATATTATGACTATGAGATTTGGCAAATGGACATCAATATTGCCTTTCTGAATGACAACCTTGAAGAAAGTATTTATATGTCTTAACTTGAAGGGTTTATAGCACAAGGTCAAAAGCAAACGGTTTGCAAGCTTAAACAGTCCATATATGGATTGAAACAAACATCTCGATCTTAGAACATAAGGTTTGATACTGCGATCAAATCTTATGGTTTTGACTAAAACGTTGATGAGTCCTGTGTGTAC